GGGGGGCGGACCCCCCCAGCCGGGAGAAAGGTCCCCCCTGCCGAGCGGCTCAGCCGGACCCCCCCAGTGATGGCAGCTCGTCCCCCGCCCTCCCTGCTCCGGGCAGCCCCCGCACCCCCGGCCTGTCCGGGCTGAAGAACCACGGCAACACCTGCTTCATGAATGCCGTGCTGCAGTGCCTCAGCAACACCGACCTTTTCGCCGAGTTCCTGGGCTTGGAGCAGTACAAGGAGGGCAGCCCCTTACCCAGCCCCGGGGCCACGGACAGAGGAGAGGTCACCGAACAACTGGCCACGCTACTGCGGTCACTGTGGACCCTGGAGTACACCCCCCAGCACAGCCGGGACTTCAAGGTGACAAAGGGAGCTGTCCAGCGGCATGGCTCCATCATTCTGCACCCAAATGATCATTGTCTGTTTGGTCTGAGGCAGCTTCCCTCGTCCCTCTCACCCCAGAATAACCTTTACCTTTCCAGGTCTCCATGAACCCCCTGCTAAAATAATTCGGGATCAATAGGATGAACCACTCCCTTATGTTGGCAGTCAATGGGAGGAATGCCCCTATTGCATTGGCGGTCAGGGAAGAATGCCCCCCTCATATTGGGAAGAATACCCCTCTTCCAGTGGTGGTCAGGGAAGAATGCTCCTCTTGTTGGTCATCAGTGGCAAGATTGCCCTCCTTACAATGGTGGTCTTTGATAAGAATACCCCCTTATGATGATGGCAAATGAGAAAGATTCCCCCATTGTGTTGGTGGTTAGGAAAGAATGCCCCCTTAAGTTGGCAAATTTGAAGAATCCTCTCCTTACATTGGTGGTCAGGGAAGAATGTCCCTTTGTTATGGTGGTCAGTGGCAAAAATGCCCTTCTTACATTGGAGGTCTTTGATAAGTATGCAACACTTATGTTGGTGATCATTGAGAAGATAGCCCTCTAATCTTTGTGGTCAGTGGGAAAAAGTCCCCCTGATGCTTTTGGTGTTCTGAGAAAGGCCTCCCCACCCTTACATTGGTGTTCTGAGAAAGCCCACCCTTACGCTGGCAGCCAGTTGGAAGACTGCCCCCCTTAGGTCCAGTGGGAAGAATGCCCCTCCTTACATTGGCGGCCAGTGGGAAACTGCCCCCCCTCCTTAGGTTGGCGGGCCAGTGGGAAGACTGCCCCCCTTAGGTTGGCGGGCCAATCGGAAGACTGCCCCTCCCTTAGGTTAGGTCAGGAAAGAATGCCCCCTCATACATTGGTGGCCGGTGGGAAGAATGCCCCCTCATACATTGATGGCTGATGGGACGAATGCTTTGGAGGAATGCCCCCCTTAACTTGGCAAGTGGGAAGAATGCTCTGCTGACATTGGTGGTCAGGGAAATTGCCTCCCCTATGTTGGCTTTCAGTGGGGAAAAATGACCCCATTACGTAAGTCAATAGGAAGAACAATCCTTTAGGTTTGTCGTCAATGGGAAGAATACCTCCTTTATGTGGGTGGTATGGGAAGAATGACCACTTATTTTGGTGGCCACGCTAGATGAAAAGCTGGACAAAATGGGCGCTAATATGTGCAAAAACGCTGACGCCTAGATGTAAACTGAGCCTTAGCATGGTGGTTAGGGTAGGAATTTCCCTCCTTATGTTGGTGGTTCCTGACCGTTGGTGGTCAGGGAATAATGCACCCTTGGATTGGCGGTCAGTGTCCCCCCCGCCCCCCCCCTTACACTGGTGGCCATGGAAGAATGCCTTCCTTACAGACGACTAAAAAGATAATTGATGCCATGCTGTTACTGTCTTTGCCAAATGGCGTTTGACCCGGAGCTATGCAGGCACTTTGAGATGAGAGGTCATCCAGACACTGTTTAAGAAATGCCTAACAACCTCTGGGTGACCCTAGGGTTCCATGGAACTCTGGATGAGAGGTGACTTGCCTAATATTATGCTTGGTAACTGCTGTAGATATGAGAGTAGGGAAGATCTTCCCAGCTGATTCTTTACCAGGGGATGCCTGGACATGGTGGACCTTGTAGGCATATCATCATTTCTCAATTTGGCCATTTTGGACCATCGGGCCAGACATAATTGCTACAGCTGCGCAAGGGCCCTGCCGGACTTGGGTGTCCATTATTGCTCGATGTGGGTTAGGCCTCTCGCTGTCAGCCAGACATGGGTACTACTAACTAGAAACATAAGCCGGGGTTATTCCTTATACTGACACCACTATGCTTCTGATTTGTTAATACCCAGTGTTGTCAGGCAGCATGCACCTTCTATTTCTATACAGTGAACAAGTTTATGTATTTGGTCAGTAGTTGAATATGGGGATGGGGGAGGGCACTGGGTCGTGTGTTGACCATGTCTTCTGCTAGTTGGCTAGGTGGGGTCAGCTGTCATCTTGTGTCTCTGTGTACCTTAATTTGATTGTTGCCTGAGCTGGCCAGTGATTGCTATGCATCCTATTGATGCTGACACACCAGCCTTCAAGCAAGCACTAGCTGTCATTGTAAAATTGAATCTCTGCAGCTAGATATACTCATCTGGGGGACCTGGGGAGAAGAAAGGCCACTAAGCAGCCAGTTGGTCACTGTAGACTGCCCCCAGCACAGCCAGGACTTCCAGGTGATAAGGGGAGCTGTCCAGCTACATGGCTTCAATTTTGAACACCGCAAATGAATGCCTTTTTGTCCTACATCTGAAAGAATACTTTCTAATCCCATTGTAGACATAAACCTGCGTGTACGGACCATCCGAGCATGCATATTTCTCTGTTAGTCTTTTCCTGGAGATCTGGAATCTGTTAGGAAGATCTGTTCCACCCTATTCTTTCCCAGTGATTATTTGGCCACAGGGTGTATGGACAGGTTAAACCCTTGAACCTATTGTCAAGTCCCAATCTACCCAACAGCTTAGTTTGCATGTCTGTGTATCTTGGGATTGTTGTTGCTTGAGCTGGCTAGGGATTGCTATGTTTGGGGTTTCTTACTGTCAAGGACTCTCCAGCCTTATAGGAAGTGATAGCTCTCAGTGTAAACTTCCAACGCCATTACATATACCTATTGCTGTGGTTACGGTGAGTCTCCTTACCGAAACAACCCCAAACTGGGTGGGTGCTTGTAGTGACCAATTCTGAGCCTGATGAAGGGGACCCCCTGTGGCCCCGAAAGCGCTTGTATTGGATGGCAATGTGCCATTAAAATGGATCATTGATTTACAAAAACGGTGTGCTGGTGACATTATTCCTCTTTTCTGTGATTTACACGTTGCCTTCCGTGGTCACTACAAGCACACACCCAGTTTAGGGTTGTTTCGGTAAGGAGTGCAGCAAGACATCCTGTTTCTAGTAGTTGTCAACCATTCTCATTATCAATTAGTTGGTTGGATCCCCTAGCTCTCTCCTCCATCCTGGGAGGAGGGCACATCAAGCAGTGGGCGGGTGCAATAGCCAGCCTACTATTGGCTATTGCAATTTAAAATAGCCAATAGCAATCTGGCTATTGCACCGGCCCACTACCTGCTGTATTTACATTGAGCTGCCGTCTGCGGAATCTTGCCACTGGCAGCTGTCATTTCCTGGCTGAAGCTATTCAAGCGCCATACAATTATTTAAAAAAAATAAATGATAAAAGTTGGGAAAAAAGTCATTTTCGGTTTCGGTCTGACAAATTCTGCTGCGGGAGGTGCTTTGAAGTGCACCCCAAACGCGCCTCCCACCCACAGTGTGATTGCCCACACTGGAACGCACGGTACCACAATGCCGTGTTTTCCAGTGCAATTGCAAAAAAATTGTGCATGCAGTTTTATTCTGAAGTAAACTTTGTAACACTGCATTTGTGTATTTTATTTTAAATTTAAGGATGGGATTTATTTAATTTTGTTTTATCCGATCGAAAAAAAAAAAAATAATCGGCCAACTAAATCGATTATGAAAATGTAATCATTAGTTGCAGCCCTAGCTCCCAGTGTAAACGTCCAACACCATCATGTATACACTATATTGCCAAAAGTATTGGGACACCCCTCCAAATCATTGGATTCAGGTGTTCAAATCACCTCAATGGCCACAGGTGTATAAAATCAAGCACCTAGGCATGCAGACGCTTCTACAAACATTGGTGAAAGAATAGGTCGCTCTCAGGAGCTCAGTGCTTCTCTGTCTGGCAATCCGATGGACTTGTCTGGGGTTGGTCGGTTGCCAGGAGAACGGTACTTACCTGACAGCATTGTGCCAAGTGTAAAGTTTGGTGGAGGGGGGATTATGGTGTGTGGTTGTTTTTTCAGGGGTTGGGCTTGGTCCCTTAGTTCCAGTGAAGGGAACTTCTAAGGCATCAGCATACCAAGACATTTTGGACAATTTTCATGCTCCCAACTTTGTGGGAACAGTTTGGGGGCGGCCCCTTCCTGTTCCAACATGACTGCGCACCAGTGCACAAAGCAAGGTCCATAAAGACATGGATGAGCGAGTTTGGGGTGGAGGAACTTGACTGGCCTGCACAGGGTCCTGACCTCAGCCCAATAGAAGACCTTTGGGATGAAACAGTGGAGACTGCAAGCCTGGCCTTCTCGTCCAACATCAGTACCTGACCTCACAAATGTGCTTCTGGAAGAATGGTCAAACATTCCCATAGACACACTCCTAAATTTTGTGGATGCCTCCCCAGAAGAGTTGAAGCTGTTATAGCAGCAAAGGGCAGGCCAACTCAATATTGAACACTACGGACTACAACTGAGATTCCATTAAAGTTCATGTGCGTGTAAAGGCAGGTGTCCCAATACTTTTGGCAATATAGTGTACCTATTGCTGTGGTTACGTGGACCCTGCACTACTTTACCCAGCAGAGCTGGGAATTCAGGGTTGCAGGGGGAGCTGTCCAGTTACAGGGATTTGTTAGTGTTCTCTGCACCCAAATGTCTTTGGTCCTGTTCAAGAAAATAAGCAGGTCATAGACATCAGAGAATGTGTGGATGTAGAAGAATGGTCTGGACGCATTGTGTCTTTGTGTTTTGCTGTAGATTTTTGGCAGTCCTAAGGTGCCCATACACCTTATAATTATCTGCCAATTTTCGTCTGAAAATCTGCTAGATGATGGGAAGTGTACAACTGGCCGATTTTTGTCTTTCAACCAGGCTTGAAAATTTTCGTCTAGTTGGATGAAAATCGCCAGGTTAGTTGGGTTTTTGTACAACAAAAATCTCAACCTGAAAACTACACATGCTCAAACAAAAATCTGTTCTTGCGATCGATGAAAATCGGCCAGTTAGTGGTGCCGACGAACCTCTAATTGCGAACTACATTGGTTTGTGCATGATGGGCTGTTTGAATGAAAATTGAACGAGGGTGAAATGTCTGGACAAAAAAAGTTGTACAATGTTTGTAAG